TACTTTCTTCAAACAATGCTCCAGGCGGTGTCAATTTACTTTGTAATCTGTAAAGGTTTCAAATTCATTCATGCCTTAAAAGGCACTGGATTTTCATTTTTGAGTTGAAACTTTTACAAAAATACTTTTTGTTTTTTTAGTCTTAAAAGTTCCCTTTTTCTGGAGTTTTCTCTCCACTCCTAGAGACGATTTCTACCAGGTTTGCATCTGGTCACAGAAATGCCTTGCATCTGTTTGAAACTATAATTATCTATAGACAAGATGCCTAAACAGTAACCAGATTAAAGTAATATATTTAAATTTTATTTGCATGTGCTAATGTGAAATAGTAAACTAACATTTTAAGGGAAAAATGAATACATTTTTCTCTTTCCAATGTCTTTTCCAAAAGAAATTGTAGGAAACAAGCAGATTGCTTACATTAAAAAAAAAATCTAAATGATTTCATCTTTAGGAAAAAGTTATTTGTCATAGAGTTAAATTCATTTTAAGGCTTGAATGAATTGCTTTCTGTGTGCAGAACTTTAAAAAAATATAGTATTTTATGTATGGAGAGGACAGCTCCAGCCTAATGCGATATTTTAAATCAACATACTTGCTCTGTCTGCCCAGGTTCCTAGAACCCTGCACTGGACCGGTGTGTAGGGGAAATGATTAGCGGGAATCGCTTAAAGTACCGTTTCTTTTTTGCGGCACTAGGTCATTAAGTAGTGCACAGTCTAAATACACATTTTTGTTATAACCTAAGTTCTGGAATAGCCAGCTCTGCACCTTATCCCTTAGCACCTAAGCGTTTAATTTCACTGGTGGGAGGTAGACCCTGAAGACAATAAAGAGAATGTTGATGCTCAGACTACAGGTGGACTTGCAAGATGGTTGATGCGCAGTCAAATTGGAAGCACCAGGTGGACCGTGCCTCCCAAAGAAGCCCTTTCCAACCCGCCACTAATGGGGTGGAGGTCTTTCTGGGCTCCAAGAGTTAGAGATGAAAAACGACAACCAACCTCACTGAAGCTTTTGCACTTTGAACAGAAATCATTACAGTTGGGGTGTCTTGTCCAGGGAAATGAGTAATACATTAAATAGAATAAGATGTTTGAGGGAAGGAACTGGGTGCCTTGCCTGCTGCCCAGCACTGAAGCACCCAGGAGGGGCCCTGGAGGAAGGCAGAGGCCCTACTCTCGCGGCCATAGAACATGGACCTGATATACATACACCACCAAGTTTAAGAAGCTAGAATGAGTGTGCGCTATTGGATTTTTGTCTTACACAAGGGTATTGTTTTTAAAGCTTCCATCTTAAAGGTGTAGTGTCACATAAAAATAGTATCTCTAGCAGCACATTATTAGCTTAATCCAAACTAGGTTCTTTCACATAATGTTGTCTGAACTGTACTTCCTCTAACACAGTATCGTAGAACTGCCTGTAGTGCACTGAGGAATAATGATCCGAGGTAACGTCATCCTCAGGTAGGTTATGATGATGGGGGGGTGGTTATGGCATTTGAGGCTCTTCCCTCTGGATTTTACACAGTGGCCCTCAGACCCCCAAGATGCACATCTCCTCAGCTTCCGGAAATGGTTACAGCTGGTAGTTGAGGGAGAGTACGTTTTCCTAATTGATAAGCAGAGGAGAAACACAGCACAGCTTTCAGGATGATCTATTTTAAAAACACTGTGGATCAAGGTATAGACAGAAAGTTGATTTGAATTGCAAGTTTAAACCTTTGTTATCTGCCAGATGAACTAGTGATTGTCACAAACTGGTATGGAGGTGATGGCTTTGCAAACTTGGCAAAGACTTCTCATTTCTAATACAGTCAAAGATGGGCTGGTTTTGTGTTAGCTGTCACTGGTAATGATATTTGTATAAGTGACTTATTGGTGAGACTTTGGGCAGGGTGACAGCCTACTGTTTTGATGTCAAGACAGACAGATGGAGAGTCTATTATGTAAGTCTAAGTGGGCTTAGTCTGATGTCACTAGCCTAGCTCATGACCTTGTAAATGAGTGCTAATGTGAACAGGTTATTAATATTGTGACCCCCTTCTATTTGGAAAATAAATAAATTTATTTCTCCATGTTGCAATGCCTATCTTCAAGAAGTATCCTGCCAAGAGTATTTCCCAATGTGGAATCATGAGCTGTCACTGGTTACTAGGTCTCTGGATCACCCAGGAGCAGGCTGTGCTTGACACTGTGACAGGTCACCCCACAGCTCCGTGTCCTTTAAAACTAGTCATTCTGGAGGCAATAGAAATCAACTTTGTGGTTGGATGAGGTGAAGACACAACCAGTCTTCCTATTTGTTGTTGTTTAGACAAAACAGTATTAATGGAATGTTCGCCTTCCCACTGGTTGTTTTGATATTGTTTAAAATGTATATTTAGAATGGAATCATCTAAAAAGCTGATCTTGCTAACCTCCTGTTCTCTACAAAGGGAAATGTCACAAGAATGTGTAAAAATAAAAATCTAAGAAAAAAACCCCACCTTGTTCCTAAAGAGAATGAATGTTTTCCAGTAGGTGTTTTTGTGGTTTCTATTTAAACTCTGATTAAAGCATATATGTGTTACATGCATGTTTTTTATGGTGGCACAGAATCACTGGGGAGAATATACATGAAAAGTTCCAGTTCCTTAATTCCTCGCCTGAATCAGAACTCGGTATTTTTAGCACAGAACTAGAAAGCATGGCAGACAGAGCACAGAACAACTGGCTTATATTCAAATACAGACCGGACAGTTTGTGGTCAGAATGTCGTCATCACAGCCCGGGAGGCTAGTGCCCGCAGGGCGACCAACCATCCATTCTGCCTGGGATGGAGGGGTCTCCTGGGACACGAGACTTGCAGTGCTAAAACCAGGACAATCCTGGCCACACCAAGATGGCTGGTTACCTCAAGTGCAAAGTGGAGTGGTTAGTCAATCCTGGCCATTTCTTAGGAACTTGAAAAAAATTGCAGTAGGGCCGGCCCCGTGGCTTAGCGGTTAAGTGTGTGCGCTCTGCTGCTGGCGGCCCGGGTTCGGATCCCAGGCGCGCACTGACGCACCGCTTCTCCGGCCATGCTGAGGCCGCGTCCCACATACAGCAACTAGAAGGATGTCCAGCTATGACATACAACTATCTACTGGGGCTTGGGGGGAAAATAAATAAATAAATCTTTAAAAAAAAAATTGCAGTAGTTTGCGACAAAGGAGTAGATACCCTTACCTGTTTGTAACCTTTTACTAAAAAAAAAAACCCCAAACCATGAATAACTATAGTCTTCCTCTCACATTGAAGTTAACACATTTAACAGATGGGAGACATCTGGTGGAACATTCCTAAATTCATTCTTTCCTGGGGTGGGGGTACGTTTTTTAAAATATATTTTAGTTTCTGTGATTCCAAGATATTGTCCTCCAAGGAATACAGAAAGGAAGAAGTAACATCAGAATTCACATTTTTTTTTTCAAAAACTCAGCATGGACACTGAGTTGTTTAAGCCTCCAAGTCTGTGGTATTATGTTACAGCAGCCTGAGAGGCTTAAACAATGGACATTTATTTCTTACAGATCTGGAGGCTGGAAGTCCAAGATCAGGGTGCTGAGGGATTCGTGGTGGGGGCTCTCTTCCTGGTTTGCAAATGGCTGCCTTTTTGCTGTGTCCACACATGGTGGAGAGAAAGATCATCTCTCTCATGTCTCTTCTTATAAGGGCACTAATCCCATTCATGAGGCCCCACCCTCATATACTATGACCTCCCAGAGGCCTCACCTCCAAATACTTTCACACTGGGGATTAGGGCTTCCATATATGAATTGTGAAGGTACACAGACATTGAGTCCTTGGCAGACTCCAAGGTGGTGTGTATTTAAAATGCTCATTCCACCATCCACAGCAAAACCCATGTCTTCAACTAGAGAGGACACTTGGTGAGTAGTGACCACGTCTTACACCTTTTTTGCACATTGCTTTCATCCCAGAGGACTCGCTGGGATGGGTGGGTATGAGCAAGGGTGGCCTGTGTGATCAGCTGTCACACTCCTGAGGAGGACAAGGGACCCTGCCTGTCTCTACCCTGTCATGGACCTTTTTGGTTTATTTTCCCCATCAATTTGCAAGGTGGCACCCTGCACAAATGGAGCTCGAGTGGTTTGGGGTTTCCTAGTAGATGTTGGAGTGGAAGGGGACACATGCTGCATCCTGCTACCATCTTAGCACCATGCTGCAGCCTCTCTGGGCCACGGTCCATGGGATGGGGGGAGGAGAAGGACCAGCACTGCCCACACCCCACCGCCACCCTCTGCGTGCTCCATCCTCCTCGTTCCAGCACTGGATCCCATCGTTGACAGCATGGAGAAAGGTGTTCAAGGCTTCCCACTCTACTTTTCCATTCTTGAATGACGATGGCTTCTCCCCCGGGAGACCAAAGACCCCTGTGGACATAACCGCTCATCCCACTCCACCCTCCCTACCCCGCACAGGCTGAACGCAGGAACACGGGAGAGCAGGGGGCCAAGGGCTGTGCCACCTCAAAAAAGAAGCTCCAGAGCGGCAGCCACATTTCTCCTGCCTGGAGTAGAGGCCACAGGAGGAAGCAGCAGGGAATCAGTGTCACTCCCCCGGGAGTCCCTCTGTGCCGGCCTCACTCCTGTCATCTCTCTTCACTCCCTTACACCTGCCTCCCCTGACCTCTAGGCCAAGTCAGGTCCATTTATCACCTGCCCCATTGTCCTGGGCTCTTTGCCTCTGTTGTCTTCAACGAATTAATCCATTATATGTTTAATAACTAGCGCCATGTTGGATGGCAGGCTCTGAGAGGAAGGGGACAGTATGTCTGGTTTATTGTCGTGCCCCCAGTTCTTAGCACATGCCTGGTACATAGTGGGTGCTCAACCAAATTGGATGAGTGACAGTACACAAGTGAAGAGAAGCTGCCCCGTGCCCCTGTCCAGGCTCCAAGGAACTCAGGCAGGCTTCATTTTAAAAACACATACCGACCCCAGCACTTCCAAGTTTCCTTTTATTAGCATGTTATTCTCAATCCCTAATAGCTTCCTATAAGAAAGGGCTTTTTCCAGAATTTTATTGCTCCAAATCTGACTCCAGACCTGTGCGAGGGGCTATATTTGTACAGTCAGATGTTGAGTCTGCTTTCCTGCACAGGGAGTTTTGAACTTCTGAAGAGAAGTCTTTCAGCCACAGTAAAAAAAAATGCTGATGGGTAAAGATTTTTGTTGGGAACAAAAACCACTTAGGTAATAAAAAGTAAAATGCTTTGTAGAAGCACCAGATCACCCTGAAGGGCATCCACTGTCAAAATGTGGCCCATGGGAGGTGAATGGTGTCACTGTTGCATGTGGGAGCAAACAGTTGGTCTTGAAAATCTGTACAATGACTGTTGACTTCCATCTCGTAGACAGAGATTTACACAGCACCCTAAATGTCAGCACCCAGGCATGACCAAAGCCTTCTTTGGGGGTGGGGTGGGGGGGTCTCAGTCCGCCGCGTTGGACCTAGCCTTCCCCAGCACTGTGTGCGGGGGCACGCCAGTGCAGAATGCCGGTTTGGCTCTGGGGGCCGGCCTAGGCTTCACAGCCATCTCAGGGGCCCTGCAAACGAGCAGAGGGTGTGGGTGAGTGTGGCTCCCCTGAGACCTCCACATGGTCTCCCCCTAGCCTTTGCTGCTGTGAAGACATGCCTAGCAGTTGCTGAGCTACAATTCATGAATGACCCTCAGGAGGGAATGTAAATGAGGGACAATCATGGCCCAGGAACATAGAACACAAGGTTTGTTCTCCCGCTTCCTAATTTCTTGTGGCCATTCTTGCTGAGCTGAGACAGTCAACCTGTAGCTGGCTCAGTGAGCAGAAGGTGAGCAGAAAGTTTGGGCTGGAGGCCTTGCTGGCTCATCTTCCCTGTGCTAAAGGGGCCTGGGCCCACACAGTAGGCTCTGAGACAGTGCCTCCTGCTGGCTGTGTCCATAGCTGCGGTGCTTCCAGGAGCAGGGACTTGGCAGTTAGCCCACTGGCTCTCAGCGACACAGGCTCTGTGAGGTGGGGCACCTCCACTGCAGAGCACAGGGCTTCTGCTCAGAGACTGAGAAAGACATGGGGCCAGCCTTCAAGGCAAAGTCAGAGGGCTCCAGGGCTCCTGTCCTAACATGCACCCTGAGAGCAAAGGGAAGCCCAAGGCAGGACGCTAGCAGGGCAAACTAGGGTTCTGTGCCCTCACCCTCCAGCAGGTGAGATGACGTGCAGAAGGCCAGTCTGCAGGAGGATGAATCTCAGCATGTATTTCTGACATTATTGAAAAGATAACTTCTTAATATCTGGGCAAGGAAGATATTTTACAACTGGGTTTTCAAAGGAACTGGTTTTGCATAGTTTATGGGTTACGGGAAGTCAATTAGTAAAACTTTCCATGGAAAGTTCCACAGAACCTTACAGAACCAGCTTTCTCTGAGATTCTGAATGGCAAAGGAAATAGTGTGAGAGGAAGCCAACTCACTTGGACAGGACGTCCAGGGTCTTCTGGGTGGCCAGAGTCCTCTTGTCCTGCGGTCCATATAAGAGAGTCTGAATCTGAAGACACTGCAGAACACCAAGTAGTAATCATGAGGTTATGAAAATGTCACTGAGAGCATTTGCAGGAAAATGAAGTCTCCCTTGAATGAGAGAAAGAATACTTCATTCTTAGACCCATGCTACGACGGAGTTAGTGTGTTCTCGGGGTTCCTCCAAGGGACAGTCTCACCTTCAATTTGGATGGTCTGAGGGATCCAGGAAACAAATGACAGTTTTGGCGCTATTTTATAGAACTCTCTGTGACTATCTGTATGTAAAAATATGTTTAAAGTAGTATTTTTAGAAAATAAAGGCAAGAACATTGGTATAGACCAGATGATGGTCTTTAATTTCTATTTTTTTTTTTTTTGTGAGGAAGATCAGCCCAGAGCTAACATCCCTGCTAATCCTCCTCTTTTTGCTGAGGAAGACCGGCTCTGAGCTAACATCTATTGCCAGTCTTCCCCCTTTTCTTCTTCAAAGTCCCAGTAGATAGTTGTATGTCATAGTTACACATCCTTCTAGTTGCTGTATGTGGGATGCAGCCTCAGCATGGCCGGAGAAGCAGTGCGTCGGTGCATGACCGGGATCCGAACCCGGGCCGCCAGTAGTGGAGCGTGCGCACTTCACCGCTAAGCCAAGGGGCCGGCCCTTTAATTTCCATTTTTAAATGACCCTTGCTACATACAGCCCAGAAAATTTTTTTAATGGTTTTGTTTTTTTGTAAACAAATGCTTTATCTTATATGGGCTTTCTATATTCATTACTACACAGAAATTTCTTAGGAATTAATTTACTCAGGAGTTAAATATTCAGTTTATGTATTATCCAGGGCTGGCTTTGGCTCGTTTTCTCCCTTCTGCTTAATTGTTCTGCCATTTTTGCTTGTACCAGGTCAGGGCAAACTCCAGGAAAGAATAAAGATGAAAGTTATGCCCAAAATGGTCAAAATAATTTCGAAGAAGAATGAGGTGGAAGAACTTGCTTTACTGGATGTCAACACCTTTTATAAAACTATAGTAATTAAGACAGTGTGGTTTTCACGCAGGGATAGACACACAGACCAATGGAACATGGCAGAGAGCCCAATACTTGATAGATGACAGAAGCGGCCCTGAAGGGTCGGTGACGAACAGCTGAACTAGTCAATAAATGAAACTGGGACTATTGGTTTTCCAAATGGAAGAAAATGGATCCCTACCCCATACCAAACACAAAAACTAGTCCTAGACAGATTGAGGAACTAAATGTGAAATGCAAACTTGGAACTTAGATGAAAATATTGGAGAAGATCTTTAAGATCTTGAGGTAGGGAAGTATTTTTTAGACAAGATCCAGATGAACCAAAAGTAAAAGACTGATAAAATGTAACTGTATTAAAATTCAAAACATCTGTGCACCAAAATTCACCTTAAGCAAAGTACAAAGACAAACCAGACTGAGGGAAAATATTCACACAAAACTGAGAAAGGATTAGCTTTCAGAATACATAAAGAACTCCTATAAGGTAATGAGAAGAACAACCTACCAATAGAAAATGATCAAAAGATATAAGCATATTATTCAAAGAAGTTGAAAACTGAATGGCTAACAAACATGCCTAAGTTCACTAGTAACCAGAAATGCAAACCAAAACTTCCATGAGGTTGCCCCTTCACATATCAAATTGCAAAAATTATAGTCTGATAATGATAATACCAAGCTTGGTCAAAGATGTGAAGCAACAAGAACTCTTTTATATATTGATAGTGGGTGTTAAAATTGATACAAGCACTTTGTAGAACAATTTGGTAACACTTAGTAATGGATAAGTAAATTGTGATCTATATGTATTATATATGTATGATATCATACAAATTTTTGGTGTGTGTGTGTGTGTGCATGTGTATCCAATAAGGAATCTCATGATTATAAAGTAGAGAGAAAAAAGCAAACTGTGGTTGAATGCATATTATATATGTAATTTATATGAAGCTTAAAAAACACGTAAAACAAAACCCCAGTAATATAATGAGGAAAACATGGGAATGGTATCAAATTCATGACAGTAGTTATCTGGAGATGGGGTGGGGAGGGGTATAGAGGGGACTTCAACTGTAGGGGTCACATTTTATTCCTTATATTGAATAGTGACCTCAGAGGTATTTGTTACATTCTTTATACTTTTCTGCATATCTGAGATATTTCATAATATATTTTTAAAAGACTGAATTAGTTTTTCTACGTGGTAACAGCTTGAGTCAAAAAAAGTGTGATGGTTTGGAGACTTTGTACCGAAGTCTGTTTATTCATTCTTATCCGCCAACTGTTTTTAGGTCTTCGAGAAAATTAAAATACAAGTGGCCAAAATACTTTGTCTTTATAAGCTGTGGAAAATATCAAAACCATCCGAATGTTTGGTTCAATCTGAGGAACTGAGAATGTGGTTCTGGAACCTGAGAAATGTGGTTGTCTTTTGGAGGAAAGAAATATTATTAGATAACAATGACAGGATTTTTTTAAATAATAGAAAATATTCACTATTTCTTGAATTATATAATTGAATTATATAACACCAAGGAGTAGTAAACTTCTTCTGTTACTCTATTTAGTATATAATCCAAATTCTGCAAAGCAAGGCTCCCAGCCCCTCTGCCCAGCAAGCCCCAGCCTGTTTGAACCTGCACTGGGGCCCTGGCCTGGCTTGGGCAACGTGCTGCTCGTTCCATGGGTTTGAACCAGCACTGCTTTAATCCATGGATAGATTGTTGTGACCTTGGAAATTTAAGAACCTTGAGAAAGTTCTGTGTTGCTCTGAGGGGAAGGAGATGGGGACAGGTCTCTGACACTCAGGACACTGATATAAAGTCTTTCAGCACTCCTCTCCCCTCATTTATGCTAGTCAGTGAAAGGCCTCTCTCCAGGGCTGACACTTCTTGCCAGAACAGACTTCATCTTCTCCCACACAGCCAGAAATGCCTCCACTCAGTGTAAAAGATCAGGGCTAATTTTACACCCACCCGAACTTCCCTGTTTACGTATTTAGGAGTGCCTCTGATGCAGCTCATTTTGAGACGAACTGATGTCGATGTGCCTTGGTGTTAATTCATTCACTGTGGCATTAGAATTTTACTGACATTATAACGATTATTTGAGACAGTCTAGGGTCTCAGTTCACCTGGCCTTAATAGATGGCCTCCAAGATTTAAAGCTTGGGAGGAATTTCCATCCTACCCCTTTGGTTATTGAAGCATCTTCTCCCCGGCCCCTCATTCTCTAGGGAAAGAGATACTACTAGCTGAATATTCACGGATTCCTGGGAAGAATGACATGACAATTGACAGTGCTTATACGAATTCTCACTGGTTCTCTCAACCACCTCCATTCCAGACCTTGTCTGATCATTTTCACTGGGGCATTGTGTTAGTAGAGAGAGTGGAGTTAGGAAAGAGGGTGATGGTTGGGAAAAGTGATCTTCTTCAATAATCAAGCCCAGAGAGAGGTGAGCTCCATCCCCATCCTACCCCTTAGACCTCAGTTAAGGGTCTGAGATCCTCTTCTATTCCTGGTATTAATAGATTTTTTTAATGAGGCTACTTACCCTCACTAAGGAGGTTTGCCCAAAATTCTAGCTGAAGTGAGAAGAGATGTAAAGGGATGTCACCTAGGAGAAGGAAGCAGATCCTCTGCCCTACCTCATCCCTTTTATGATGACAGCACCCAGGGAGGCCACACCAGGCACCAAGTCAGGGAAAAATGGTTCATCCACTAACTGAAATCATCTCCAAGAGCTACCTTTTTAAAATAAATAACCCATTACTGACTTTTACTAGAAAATGTTTTACATAGCTGTATATTCATCTAAGAAACACAAATTGAATTTTTCAATGTTCTGCTGCTCTTAGCTAAATTTGCTTAAGCATTTTTGTGCAAAGTAGGTATTTTCCTCCTTTTGTTAAAAAACCTAGACATTGACAGAGACAGAGAGTCAATAAATGTTAATTGAACCTACTAGGATTCAGGTCTTGTAAACATCTTGCTGGGCTAAGTAAAGAACTCCCCAAACTTTGACAGCGAACATTCTCCATCATAAATAAAGGCATTCCGTGCTCTCCAGATTCTTCCAAGGAGGCCAGTGCACTCCTGTTTGAAATCAGCCTCCAAAGGGTGTTTCTCACTTCTCTTTAAGCAGATAAAAAACTAAAATTTCGAGTAACAGATGAATTTTAGGGAGCTATCACATTGCTGTGATGCTCTTTGATTTTATCTGCAGGGGTTGGCAGAAGTCACTTGTGTTTCTGTAATTCCTTCAATACCAAACAAGGAGCTTTCCTCCCCCTGCAGGAAGACGAAACGGAACACCCGCTTTTACACTAACCTGCAAGCTGTCCCTAAAGGGGCCACGTTTGTCTTGCTCACCTTTGTGCCCCAGGGCCTTGCCCAGTCCCCGGCAGGTAAGAAGATGAAATATTTGCTAAATGAATGAGTGATTCAACAAGTGAACAAACAGATCAACTGAGGAAGTTCTTATTTGGAGCCTTAAGACATGGTCGGACCGCAGGGCTCCAGTGACACATCTGCTACTGAAACCTCTGGTAAGGAAGCTCCGTTGTAGGTGCAGTGTCACCACCCTTCACCATCACCATCCAGGCAGGATCAGTAGTGGGAAGAGTGCAGTGACCATGACTGCCTTCTCTCAGGAGTCATTCATAAACCAGGGTGGTTAAGACACGATCTTAAGCATTTGATGTGAACTTTAAAAATTATTTTTGACATGACTTTGACTTTTGAAAGCTAGGTACTAAGGAGCCCAGGAGCCAAGGAAGCTGGGATAGGAACCACCAGTTTGCTGTCTTAATAGCTCTGGCCTGTCTCTGTGCCCCAGGGTCACACCCTTCCCAGTGTGGACAGAGGGGTGGCTCGGTGGCAGCTATGGTGTGGAGGTTAGCTGACTCAGGATATTCTGGCTTTAGAAAACCACAACAGTTAAATACCCAAACTCACAAAGACGTGCATTTTCTGGTTTTGGGGTGGGGGGATCTCTGAAAATCTGTTACACAGGGCCATTTATTTTCACAGTAGCACCTCTTTAGGAGTGGACTGGGGGTGCCCTAGCCCTCCCTTCCTCTCTCAACTTCCAGCCTTAAGTCCTGGAATCGCATCATAATTTCTGTTGGGGAATTTCAGACAATCAAAGTGCTGATGGAATACATCCTATTTATCAACAGAGGCAGTGTAGCCAGGGCTGCCAGTAAAGAGCCTTTTCAATGTGAGGCTACATGACTCAATAATGGAAAACGGAGAAAGACATCCTTTTTCAGGCCTGGTAAGAGTCCACGCCAGCTTGTCATGCTATTATGTGTATTTTGTGTTTACATGAAATGAAAAACAAAGCCAGAGAAAGGTAAATTGTTTTAAACTACTGTAACGCTCAGGATCTGAAATCTCTACTTTTCTCTACACATGTTGTCTGATGCTAGAGTATGTCCACGGAGGAGAAATTTACCCAGGAACTCATGAACTGTGCCTGTTTTCATGTCAATTCTCAAGGCTAGTATTAAAAAAAAAAAAAAAAGATGTCAGAAACCAAAATACGTGAAAGTGTGAAATGTCTTAAATGTGTAGAAAAACACAAATATACTTTCATTTACTAATCTTTACAAGGCAGGCAGAAATGATTACTTAAATAATGAACTTGGGGAACTGAAAGGACAAACGGAAACACAATTCGTGAGACAGCATTTTCCTATAGAAACAGGGTCACGTGTGGGTGGGACTTGGTTTTCCCGAGCCACTCAGAAACTAGCCTTGTCCTCGCTGGACCCACATTTCCCACCATATCCACTCACCCCTGCAGCAGGGTTTGCTGAGGACCTGCAATAGGCCAGCCCCGTGCCCACTTCAGTGACAGAGCAGAGAACGGGCAGACATGAGCCTTGCTCTCAGGGGGCTTCCAACGTACCAGTGGAGCCAGACATTTAAAAATATGTAAATAAACATGTCATAACAACTCACCACAAGAGCTATGGAAAGGAGAAAGGGACATGGGGCTATGAAAGAATAAAAGGGGTGTCGGTGGTGGTAGAGGGTTCTTGGGTCCGTGAAGGCCTTTCTGAGGTGACATCCAAGTTGCGACCTGCAGGATGGGAGTCAGCCAGGTGAAGAGCACCAGGTTGGGGAAAGGTGGGGTGGGGGTGTGGTCCCAGGCAGGAGGAATGGGAAGTGTTTGAGGGAGCATACCCTGCAGCCCTCTCTCTCTCTCTCTCTCTCACACATAGACACAGACACACACACACACACACACACACACACAACACACGCAGCTCCCTTATCTGGAGGGTCACCAATCTGAGACCCAAGGATTTGCTGCACAGGTGGGTAGGAAGCATCCCATGAGAGAAATACAGGTAAGGTGGGACCAGGGGCCCAGGAGGAGGGGGGAAACGGAAGATGAGGGAGAGTGGGAGGGAGGCCCAGGCACTGCCACATGCACAGCTGCTCAGAGTGCCCATTTGGAAAGCTCTGCCTGAGTATCTACTGAGTGCCAGCCTTGGAAGTGTGGATGTCATCCTTGCTGTCTCCCTCACTCCTCACCTCTGAGTTGCCAAGTGCTGTGGGCTCTATATCCTTATCGACATCCCTCGACTCCCCCACGACTTTGCTCCATCCCCGGGCCACTGTCTTGGAGCAAGCTACCATCATCTTTCTCCAGGACAACTGCAACACAAATATTTAGAAAACAGATGCATCAGCAGGACTTGCTATTGTGAGGAATCCTGTGTCCCCACACGTAAATTAAGGCTTCGTTTTTAAAGCAGACAGCCAGCTTTTTGTATAAGAGCTGGACTGGCCTATTTCTGAGCCAGATAGAGCAAGAGATCCAGATCCTGTTAAAGGCAAGCCTTTTGAGCTGCCTTTTCTTGGCCCGTTTCCCTCATGATATGGAGCTCAGCCATTTTGCTCAGTGCTTCCTTCCTGAGTTCGTGCAGTCCACACCAGCCATTCCTGACCATCACTCTTTCCACTTGTTTAAGGTCACACTGAACTTATGCAGCAGGAGATTTTGCCTTTCCTTCCATCCCTGGCCATCCCCCCATAAACTCATGGTTCTGCATCCAGCGTGGCTCTGAAAAATCACCCGACAGTCTCAGGCCAGGACGGTCTGCCAGACCCACAGTTCTGCAGACCTCGAGGCCAATTTAGGAACTTCTAAGGCATTGTGCACTCACCAAGCCACAGTGAGAGTTCTGATATTCGAGGAGCTTTCCATAGCAAATGCAGCCTTGTCCGTGGCAGTGTGTGTACACTACCTATCTGTGTTTTTTAAGGGACAGCAAAGGTGGAGGGGCGCTGCCGTGGTTAGGGGCCCCAACCCTGAGGAGAGCAACTCTTCTTGGCAGCTGACGACACCAGTGGGGTCTGTGGCCAGAAGGCCTGAAATTCTCATTTCCACTTGCCTGTAGCAAGCAAGGTGGGCTCCACCTTTTCCCCACAGAAGGCTAAGAATGAATGACCTTGATCCCTTTAAACATCAGCTCCCATTCTTATACCACATCAACTGATACACAAACATCCAGTAAGGAGTGCTTGAAGCATTGTTAAGTACATTTCTCAACCCAAGAACAGGATTTTCTGTGTGTGTGTGAGGAAGACCAGCCCTGAGCTAACATCTGTTGCCAATCCTCCTCTTTTTGCTGAGGAAGATTGGCTCTGGGCTAACATCCATGCCCATCTTCCTCTACTTTTATATGGGATGCCGCTACAGCATGGCTTGACAAGTGGTGCGTTGGTGTGCACCCGGGATCCGAACCTGCGAACCCCAGGCCGCCACAGCAGAGCATGCACACTTAACGGCTACGCCACCTGGCCTGCCCCAGGATTTTTTTTATACGCAATTAATGTCATTATGACCTTCCTCTCTTTCAAAAGAGTTGAGGTGGACTGCTGTAGCCCAACAGTGGGGGTTAGTCAAAGACGATTAGAAAAATCAGGATCGAGGACAAGTAAGATTCTACCCGTGAAAACAGTGTGGGCTAACACGTGGCTCTGTGGGGACTCCAGATTGGCTCTGGATTTCTGGTATCCAGGGCAACCAGGAAAACACCACATATGCTAAAGGGAAAGTAAAACCAAGTGGGCCACTGATGGCACAACAGGACATGAACTGTGTATAAAATATGGCCATCTATCAGAAGGCTCTGTGTGTTTGGCCGGTTGGAGGAATGGCTGGAATACAGCCAATGACCTGACAGCCTGTTTTCATGGTCGTGTCTTGACCCATGACCACATAAAACCCTTCCAGGGTTGGCTTTCTCACCTATAATCTATAAATGAAAACCATTTTCCATCACCTTTCTTCAAATGATTCATTACAGTAGGCTTTGGATTTCTTGGAGAAAGGTCACATAAAATTATGTTATTCTTTTATGGAAATGTTTACTGTTCGCAGCTGTAGTCAGGCAGTGGACTGAACCCTGACAATGATAGTATCTAATAAGGAGGCCAGATCAAGACGGGACCCAATCCCAGCTGCACACTGTAACTGGGCCCAGGATTGGTCCTGAGATGCTACTGACCTAGGAAACAGTCTTCGTGGATTCTTTTTGGCAGCCTTTCACCTGGATGAAAATCTTGGCAATGATGCCCATCCTAGAATCAAACCAGGTCTCTATGTTGCAAAAGCATGTGAACTTTTGCTGTGGAAATTTCCATCTGGAGCCAACAGAGTTCTCCAATTTTCCCCTGCAGGCAGACGCCTTTGAAAGAGATCAATAATATGGTTTTCTTTTCAGTAATCTAATTCCGCTGTCTGCTTTGTTTCTCGTGCCTTCCTGTTTTTCATGCATGCAGGACCATGCCTGGGCCATTCAGCACAAGAGGGCACATCTCGAGAGGCCAGTAATCAATGGATTCCTGCTCCAGAGTTGAAAACCAGGGGGATGCAGCTGCTGTTGTGATAAAAACAAGAGACACACTCGGCCCGTAGCTTTAGAAAGCTGCTGCTGGCTCCACAGAGCCCAGTGCTAAACACAGCATTTGAGAAAGTCCAGTTCAGCAGCAGATGTGAGAGGCAGGTTTCAAGCCCTGTGTGTGCCCTGGTGGTCACGGAGCGGCCAGCCCTATCCTCAGCTGGGTACACAGGGAAAGGGGAATGAGGACAGCATGTACCACAGCGTGCACAACCCACAGAGATAGAAGATTCAACCCTTTCCTCTCTGATCCTGGCAAATGGCCAGATAGCTTTATGTCAAAGCCATTGTTTCCAGGACTGATGGTTAATGAGGCCAAACTAAAGGAAAAAGTGTCACGAACTTCCACTACAGGTTTTAGGGATGACAAAAGCTGAGAGTTTCTTGAAGCCGAGCTGATTTTCAGCCCCTTGGGTGGGCTTGTGGCCTAGAGCAATGATTCTTGACCTTCCCCCAGAAGGTGAAATGCAGATCCCTGGGCCCCTGCCCCAGACTGTGGTTTAGAAGGTGACTCTGATGCAGCGGGTTGAAGACCTCTGCTTGGTGAACCACTGACTTATATAAAGGAAAGAGGTGGGCTTTACTTCAGAGTAATCCGCCCATAGACAATTTACTTCACTTCTAGGAGGCTCAGGCCCCTGTCTGTAAAACAGGGCTAGTAAGGTCTGCCCTGCAGGGCTGCTGGGAGGATTAGGAATGATGTAGGAGCCACCCTTGGCAGCAGCGAGCCTGGCCTGGAGCATGAGGTCAGTAGTCGTACCAGCTGGTCCCCATGGGAGCCAGCGGGGCCGTATGAAGGTTGCTGTGGCCCCTCTCAAGTTTCTTGCACAGCTGCTAACATTTATTACCCTCCCCCACTCCTGGGCTCCCTCCCCTGCCTGGAGCTGAGTGGCTAGGCTGAACCCTCGGAAGAGTTTTTCCATATTTCACCTACCTTCCTGGGGGGAGAAAGGAGGAAAGGGAAGGAAAGTGGAGATTCCTAAGGGCCATGAACGCTCTGCCTTCTCCTCCCTCGGTGCTCTTCAGCGGCCTGCACTGGGGCAGGGCTGGCGCGTATCAAAGCAGCTGCACTCCCCTCACCTCATTCCCTCCTCAGAACAACTGCAGGAGGGAAGGAGGGCTCAGGGTTGCTGTTATCTCCATTTTACGATAAGAAAACAGGCCTTTTGCCTCAATTCTTGGGCCACTCCATTCCATTCTCAACACTATCCTGACAGTGATTCTTTTTTTTTTAAAAAACAAAAACCCAAAGTACAAATATAGAGCTGTCGTACCCTTCTTAAAATTTCCTCCACAGCTCCCAGCTGCTTAGAGCAAGGTTCAAAAAAGGTTTTCTGCAAAACACCAGATAGTAAATGTTGTAGGCTTTGCGGACCAAGAGGCAAAAATTGAGGCCACCATGTAGGTAAGTACTATATACTTATGTAACAAAAAAAGAAAACAAATTTCCACAAACTTTTATCAATGAAATTCAAAATATAATAATATCGAGTGCAGATTTTTGTAATCTAGTTCTACTAATGAGAATGGATTTCTTTTTTGGAGGGGGGATAACATTTCACCTAGTTGGGCTCAAAGTTAGTGTTCCCTACCATGAAATCAATATATGATCATCTGTAAAATGAGTACAGATTTTATGATCTGTAAAAACCATTTTTAACTTGGGGGCCATACAAAAACAGGCAGTAGGTTGGACTGGCCTGCAGGCCGTCATATGGGAACCTTGCTAAAAGGACGAAGTCTCAGCCCGTTAACCTGGCAAACAGCTGCAGGGACTTGTCCCCACGTCTTTCCCAGCTGCTCCCCAGACAGATAGTCAGCCCCAACTGCTTTTATTTTTGCTTGAGGAAGATTTGCCCTGAGCTAACATCTGTGCCAGTCTTCCTCTATTTTCTATGGGGGCTGCCGCCACAGTATGGCTGCTGAGGAGTGGTATAGGCCCATGCCCGCACCCAGGAACCGAATCCAGGTCGCTGAAGTGGAGCGCACCAAACTTAACCACTAGGCTATGGGGCTGGCTCCCAGCCACAACTGCTTTTTGCTTCTTAGAGAGGCTTTGCTCTCTCACCCCTGAGCCTCCTCTTCCACCCCATTTCCAACCTGGGATTTCCTGCCTCTGCCAGGCTATACTCTTTTTCAGGACTACTTATCTGGACATCTTCCCTAAACACTTTCCCTAAACCCCTTCTCTCCCATAGATCCCAGTATAGACCTGTCACACAGAACTTGGCACATAATGTCATAGTTGGGAGTTTATAGTCTGTAATTCCCACACTGGCCTGGGACACTCCTAAAGGAAGGGGGTGCTGCACGCCTATTGTACTTGCTGCATGTGCTCCAAAAATAGGGAGGGGCTCTAGTGACCCTGTCCCAAGTTTGCTGACTATGGGACTGTGTTTCCTGCACCACCTCCACCCCAGGCCATCCTGCTGCCTTAGAGGCAACATGTTCCTACACCCTATCACTCCCCTGGCCTTAGCTGACTGCTCCAGGGTGGGCACCAGATTCAAGCCAGGCCTATCATCCTTTCCCTGAGAGCTTTCAAGCTGTGACTGAGAAACGGCATAGGGGTAGGAAGTAAAAGTCTAGAGAGCGGCCCCATGATTTCCATCTTGAGGGGAGACACTGCCATGAGAGAGGAGGAAGATGATGTGCAGAGAGAAGCAGGCAGCAGTCTTGGGCAGAGAGAGCCCTGGTGGTGTTAAATTCTGGCCTCAGCACTTTCTCCTGAGGCTCAAATGCGTCCCTGCCCTGCTTATCACCTGCCTGTTGGCTCTTCCCTCTTCCAAGACATTAGATGCCCCTTTATACCTGAGCTAGTTTGAGTTGTATTCTGTCAGTGGTAACCCCAAAACTCCTACTATCTTGATCTTGGCATTCTCCCCACTGTGCCCCTGGTTTCCAAACTTTTTTAAAGCATAGGAAGCCCTCGTTCAAACCAAATCTTACTCGGAAGCCCAAGATGTGAAATAGAGGAAGTGTTGAATAGACTGCCCAATACAGACTGCCTCACAACTCCTAGCTTTGCAATCAAGGCTGAGACACTTATCTTTTCGGCCTCAGTTTCCCTCTTTGTAAAAAACAGACAGTAAAGGTACCCAACTCTTAGGGTTCCTGTAGTGTTAAATATTTGTTACATATGTAAATCATTCAACACAGTGCCAGGGATATAAGAATCACTCGACAAGCATTAGCTATTATTACATGTAAGTGGGTGATGGAGAAAGACAGCAACTGCCGCTTTCAGCTTCTCTTCTCACCTCTTCCCTCACCATAATGTCTTTGACACGTGTAATGTTTAAATTATGTGAAATGATTGGTTTAATATATATCTTCCTGGCTAGACTGGAAAGTGTCATAAAGACAAGGAACATATTTGTCTTGGTCATTGTTTTTTCCTAGGTCTGCCTAGCACAGTAACTGGCCCATAGAAGATTACTAATAACAATTTGTTGACTAACTAATAATAGATATATGTGTTACCTCACTTAAAAACAGGCACCACACATGGTGCCGTTTGCAGCAGAATCAGAAAAGTCATAAGAAGAGAAAAAGGCTCGACTTACAGGACAGCCCACTCAGAACTGAAGTTAATTCTTTTGGTTTGGTCAGTTATGTTACTGAGAGGTTCTCAGGTTTTCCCCATTTTAAAACTAATTAATATAATAAAGACACAACATGATAGAACTTAGGAGGTAAATTTAAAGCTACAATAAGAGGCAAATTCATAGCCTAAAATACTTAAATCAATAAAAACGAAAATAAATTAATTAAATTACAAACTCAAAAAGATAGAAAAAAAACTCCAACAAAGTAAAACAAAATAAGTCACAAGGAAAGAAATAATAAAGATAAAATCAGAAATTAATGAAATAGAGAATAGGAAGACAAGTAATCCAAAGGAATTAAAATTCTAGTTCTTTGGGAAAATTAACAAAATAGACAAACAATTAACTAACTCAGTAAAGAAAAAAGTGAGAAAATCCAAATATAAAATTAAGAATTTACAATGAGAAAATAACTATTAAAAAAGTAGAAATTTTTAAAATGCCTAAGCCTACTTTGTACATCTCTATGCAAATCAACCTGAAAGTATAAGTGAACTAGATAATTACCTAGAAAAATACAGTTTACCAAAATGACCCCATTAGAGATATAAAGCTTCAACAAACCAACTTTTTGTAGAAGAAACAGAGAAAATTGTCAAGGTATTTCCCCACAAAAAAGCACCAGCCCTAAAGAGTTTCACAGGAGGTATAAACCTTCAAAGACTAGATAGTTTTAACACTGCATAAATTTCTTCAGTGCATAGAAAATAAAAGTAAACTTCCAAATTATTTTTATGAAGCAAATAGAACATTGATACTTAAACAAATATCACTTACAAATATTGGTGCAAAAATCCCAAAATAAATATTAGCAAACAGTATCAACACCATATTAAGAAAATAATTCAATAAGACTAAGGAGATTTATTCCAGGAATGCAAGGTCGGTTCAATAATATAATAAAAAACACCATATTAAGTGATCTAAGAAGAATAATCTGATTATCTCCACTGATACTGAAAAAGTCTTTGATAAAATCCAACATTATTTCCAATAAAAAAAAAAAACTCAAGAAAATAGAAATCAATAGATACTTCCTTAACGTGATAAAATATATAAACCTTAGTCCTAAAGCCAGCATCTACTAAATGAAGAATCACTAGAGGCATTTCCACTAAGATCAGGAACAAGGCAAGGATGTCCATTATCTCACTACTATTTATTATTGTACTAGAGGTATGAGTCAACAGAATTAGATAAGAGAAATCAATTAGAGTCATAAGAATTGGAAAATAAAAAGTAAAAGTATTCTCAGATGATGTAATAGTATACCTGAAAAACCTGAGAGAATCAATACTCTAACTCAAGCAAGGAAAGAATTAAGCAAGCTAGCAGAATATAAAATTAACATAGCGAAACAAATAGTCTTCATAGACACAAAAATAACCAACCAAAAGATATAATAGTGGATAAAAATTCATTTACCATAGTATTAAAGAAGATAAAATGCTTAGAAATCAATTTAACAAGAAATGTGCAAAACCTATATAAGGTATACCTTAAAATGTGCCTGAATGATACAAAACTAGACATGAACAAATATAACGACACCCCTTGTTCTTGGGTAAAATGACTCAGCATCATAAAGATAACAGTTCTCCATAAGTTCATTTACAAAAAAGACAATCCTCCAAAAAATACCACCAAACATTTTATGGAACTAGACAAGTTGATACTAAAATTCATGTGGAAATAAACTTGCAAGAATATCTAGAAAACTTGATATTCTAGGGGGAGAAAAACCAAGAAAGGTGCCTATTCCTGTCAGATATGAAATCATGCTATGAAATCTCTATGATTACAACTATGAGGTCCTGACATTGGAATAAACAAAGAGAACAGAAGAATAGAATAGAAATCCAGAAATAGACTCAAGTACATATGGAACTGTAGTATATGATGAAGGTGTTATCTCAAATCACTGGAGCATAGATGGGCTCTTTATAAAATGGCGCTGAACAACTGGGTAGCCATTTGGAGAAAAGATAACATTAGATCCATACCTCACACAAACCACATAAATAAACTCCAAATTAAAAAGAAATAAATATATAAGTACTAGAACACACAGAAGAATTCCTCTAGAAACTGGGTGTACAGAAACAGAGCACAATAAAACAAAATATTGACACATTACAGTATGTAAAAATTAAAAATTATTTGCATGGTAAAAAAATAATTGATAATTCATTTTAAAATATATGTGTATAGGATGATTACTATATTTTTTACCCAAAAACTATTAGGTTAGATTAACTGCAAAAGTGATGTCATCTTACCTAAATAAGCCACTTATGAAATTTCATTTAAAAAAAGCATGTTGGAAGGAGAGAAACTGACCCATGGGGAGGGAGAGACGGCTTTTCTCTGCATTATGACTGGCTCCAGCTTTACCTTCTTCAGTTTCCTGTGGGCCCCACTGTGGTTCCCCTGCGCCAGATCGGCCCCACCCAGGAGCCGGTATGTCTCTGCCACCTCAGGACTGACATCGCCAAACACTCCCACTTTGGCTTGCACGGATTCTCTCAGGATCGAGGTTGCTCTCTGTGAAAGGAACAAAAAGCTGTCTGGTGAAAAAGTTTAAAGGCTGAAAAAAATCAATGCCTCTCAAGAAAATGACATAACTGATGTGTATTTTGACTTTTTAGGGGAATGGGTTTGGGTAGAGCATCTCATGAGCTGAACCTACTTTCCTCTGGATAAATAGGAGACAGGAATAACATACAGGGGAGAAAAAGCTGTGAACTATGAAGAGAGAATGCATAAAGGACATCTGGAGAAAAAGCCACTTCAGACATTACAGAACCCATTTTAGTTGAGTAGTAAGAACAAAAGCTAACATGTATCGTGTCCTTTTGTGTCAATAACAGTGCTAAACAGTTTACGTGTGTGAGCTCACTTAATTCTCACTGTCTCCTTTAGATAAGTGCAATTGTAATCCTGATTTGATAGAGGAGGAAAGTGAGGCAAAGAGCAGTCAAGAAATTTGCTCAGAGTCAGAAAGGTCATCAATGGTAGAGCTAGGATCCGAATCCAGCCAGTAATTTTAATCTTTTTTGGATGCTGGCTCTTCTCACTCTGTGCATAGTGATGTTCTTACGAAAGTGAAACCATAGGAGAGCGATGTCAGCATCATGGCGGAGTGAGCACTTCCCTTAGACTCACTCCTCTAAGATACAATGAAAAGTACAGTCATATACAAACAGAGGACATTCACACAACACAAAAGACGTCTGAGAGACCCACGCAGACATATGCCTGAAAGTGGAGGTGCTGGACCCCTGGAGGAAGTGGTAGGAGGTAGAGGATCTCCTCTCCTTCCTGAATGGCAGTGACCCCAGAACTGCGTGTGGCTCTGAGAGGAGGAGGGGGAGGGGTGGCACTCTGTGGGAACACCTTCGCTCTCCAAGTTCCCTCACAGCCTGGGGGAAAGCCCCACACAGAGGTGGCTAAACTACTGTGGGGGTATCTGCATCAAGCCAGCAACCCAGGAGAGTAGATAGCGAGGGCAGAGCAAAAAGCCTCTGGGATCACACAGGTGAAAGAAAGTGCCCCTCCCCTCACCCCATGCTCCAGCTCAGCTGGTCAGCCAGAGTGCCCGCACGTATGATAGAAAAGTAGCAGCTGTGAGCGAGCTGCAGATGGTGGTGGGCTCAGAATACACAGCTCGTGACCCCCGCCCAGTGGTGGCAGGTGGAAGCTGCGGCCAGATACTATCAACATGCAGAAACACAAATTGATGCTGTCAAACAGTATGAAAAAATATATTAATACTCCAGACCAGAAGGAAAATAACAAGCAGCCAGAAATCAATCATGAAGGCACAGAAATTTTTAATCTAAATGACACAGACTTCAAAATAGCTATCACAAAAAACTCAATGAGTTACAAGAAAATACAGATAGACAGTTCAATGAAATCAGGAACTTCTTCACAAAAGAGATTGAAAGTATAAAGAAAAACCAATCAGAAATGTTGGAGATGAAAAACACACTGGATGAGATAAAGAAAAATCTGGACTCCCTGAATAACAGAGCTGATATTATAAAGGAGAGAATCAGCAGTCAAGAGGACAGAAATATAGAAATGCTTCAGATGGAGGAGGAAAGAGAGCTAAGACTAAAAAGAAATGATGAAATTCTCCAAGAAATATCTGACTCAATTAAGAAACGCAACATAAGGATTATATTCCAGGGGGAGAAGAGAAGGACAATGGAGCAGAAAACTTGTTCAAAGAAATAATAGCTGAGAACTCCCCAAACCTGAGGAAGGAGCTGGAAATACAAGTGAAAGAAGCTATCAGAACTCCTAATTATACCAATGTAAAAAGACCTTCTTCAAGGCATATAGTAGTAAAGCTGGCAAGAGTCAATGACAAAAAAAAAACATTAAGGACAGCAAGGCAGAAGAAAATAAGTTACAAACAAACCCCTATTAGGCTTTCAGCAGATTTCTCAGCATAAACCTTACAGATAAGGAGAGAGTGGAATGATATATTCAAAATTGTGAAAGACAAAAATTTTCAGCCAAAAATACTCTATCCAGTGAAAATTTCCTTCAGATATGATGGAGAAATAAAAACTTTCCCAGATAAACAAAAGCTAAGGGAGTTCATTGCCACAAGACACCCCCTACAAGAAATGCTCAAGAAGGCCCTCATACCTGAAAAAAAAAAAGAAAGGGGTTACAAAGCCTTGAGCAAGGAGATAAACAGGTAGACAAAATCAAAAAATTGCCGCTCTCTATCAGAACAGGTTTGCAAAAATTTAATTATGACATTAAAGATAAAGGGAAGGAAAACATCAAAAATGAATATAATCTCATCATTTCAACCACAAACTCACAACACAAGATGGAATAACTTGTGACAATAATAACTTAGAAGGGGAAGAGGAGAGGGATGGAATTGGCTTAGTCTAAGGAAATAAGAGGCTAGCAGAAGATGAATTATCTCATCTATGAGATTTTTTATACAAACCTCATGGTAACCACTAAACAAATAATCAGAACAGAGACACAAATGATAAATAAAGAGAAAACTAAGAAAACCATCATAGAGAACTACCAAACTGAACTGGTAGTCTAAAATACATGAGACGAGAGAAAAAGGAAATGCAGAAGAACTGGAAAACAAGCAATAAAATGGCAGCATTAAACCCTCATATATCAATAATCACTCTAAATGCAAATGGATTGAATTCTCCAATCAAAAGACACAGAGTGGCAGGATGGATTAAAAAACAAGACCCAACAATATGCTGCCTCCAGGAAACACATCTCAGCTTTAAAGACAAACACAGGCTCAGAGTGAAGGGATGGAAGACGATACTCCAAGCCAATGGCAAACAAAAGAAAGCAGATGTTGCTATACTTATATAGACAAAATAGTCTTCCAGACAAAAGAGGTAATGAGAGACAGAGGGGCAATATATAATGATAAAAGGGACACTCCACCAAGAAGACATAACACTTATAAATTTACATGCACCTAACACAGGAGCACCTAAGTACATAAATCAACTATTAACAAACCTAAAAGGAGACATTAACAACAACACAATAATAGTAGGGGACCTTAACACCCCACTTACATCAATAGATAGATCATCCAGACAAGTAGTCAACAAGGAAACAGTGGATTCAAATGAAAAACTAGACCAGATGCACTTAATAGATATATATAGAACACTCCATCCAAAAACAGCAGAATACACATTCTTCTCAAGTGCACATGGAACATTCTCAAGGATAGACTATATGTTGGGAAACAAGGCAAGCCTCAATAAATTTAAGAAGATTGAAATTATATCAATCTAAATGTGTTTTTCTGTAGGTCTTTTTCTAATTCTGTTAGTTTATTTAAGATTGCTTACTTGAGATTTTTCTTGTTTGTTAAGGTGGGCCGGTATTGCTACGAATTTCCCTCTTAGGACCACTTTTGCTGCATCCCATATGACTTGGTATGGTGTATTTTCATTCTCATTTGTCTCCAGATATTTTTTGATTTCTCCTTTAATTTCTTCAATGAGCCATTGGTTGTTCAGTAGCATGTGGTTTAGTCTCCACATCTTTATCACTTTCCCAGCTTTTTTCTTATAGTTGATTTCTGGTTTCATAGCATTATAGCAGAAAACATTATAGCAGAAAAAGACCATTAGAAAAACACCTAACAGATTTAGAGAAAGAAGAATAGACAGAGCCCAAAGTCAGCAGAAGAAGGGAAATAATAAAAATTAGAGCAGAAATAAATGAAATTGAAACAAACAAAAAAACAGTAGAAAGGATCAATGAAACAAAGAGCTGGTTCTTTGAGAAGATAAACAAAATTGACAAACTCTTAACCAGACTCACTAAGAAATAAAGAGAGAAGGCTCAAATAAATAAAATTAGAAATGAAAGAGGAGAAATTACAATGGATACCACAGAAATACAAAGGATTATAAGAAAATACTGTGAAAAACTATATGCCAACAAATTGGACAATCTAGAAGAAATGGATAAATTCTTAGACTCATACAACCTCCCAAAACTGAAACAAGGAGAAATAAAGAACGTGAATAGGCCAATCACAAGTAGAGAGATTGAAACAGTAATCAAAAATCCCCCAAAATAAAAGTGAAGAACCAGATGGCTTCTCTGGAGAATCCTACCAAACAGTCAAAGAAGAATTAATACCTATCCTGCTCAAACTACTCCAAAAAATTGAGGAAGACAGAACACTTCTAAAACATTTTACGAGGCCAACATCACCCTGATACCAAAGCTAGACAAAAACAACACAAAGAAGGAAAACTACAGGCCAATATCGCTGATAAACATAGATGCAAAAATTCTCAACAACATATTGGCAAACCAAATACAGCAATACATTAAAAAGATAATACACCACGATCAAGTGGGATTTATACCAGGGACACAGGTATAACACAGCAGCTCAATATCTGCAAAGCAATCAATGTGATACACTATGATAACAAAATGAGGAATAAAAACCACATGATCATCTCAATAGACGTACAGAAAGCATCTGACAAGATCCAACATCCATTTATGATAAAAACTCTCAATAGAATGGGTATAGAAGGAAAGTACCTCAACATAATAAAGGCCACATACGACAAACCCACAGCCAACATCATACTCAATGGGGAAAAACTGAAAGCCATCCTTCTGAGAACAAGAACAAGACAAGGGTGCCCACTCTCACTACTCTCATTCAACATAGTACTGGAGGTTTTGGCCAGAGCAGTTAGGCAAGAAAAAGGAATAAAAGGAGTCTAAACAGGCAATGAAGAAATGAAACTCTTGCTGTTTGCAGACAATATGATTTTATATATAGAAAACCCTAAAGAATCCATCAGAAAACTATTAGAAATAATCAACAACTATGACAGAGTTTCAGGGTACAAAATCAACTTACAAAAATCAGTTGCATTTCTATACTCTAATAACGAACTAACAGAAAGAGAACTCAAGAAGACAATCCTATTTTCAATTGCACAAAAAGAATAAAATATCTAGGAATAAAGTTAACCAAGGAGGTA